GCTGGAACTACAGGTGCGCACTACCACACCCGGCTAATTTTTGATTTATTGTAGAGATGAGGTTGCCCCAAGTTGCCCAGGCAGGTCTCGAACCCGTGGGCTCAGGCAATCCACTCGTCTTTGCCTCCCAAAGTGCTGGGATTACAGGCTGAGCCACCAAGCCCGGCCATGATGTACATTTGTATACTTAACTCTGAATTGTACCCCACATCTTTAAAATTAAAAAATAAAAAGTCCCCAAACAACACCTGCTGATTGTGTATTCTCTGCAGGTCATCATTCAATAAATGATTTATTCTCACTCATGCACTAAGGGTCTGGGATAAGTTCAGTTGGGCTCATCTCCAAGCTGCAGACCGGGCCCAGGACTTCTCCATATGTCTCCACTGGTCACCCTCCTTGGACTAGTGGGCCAGTCAGGGCATGCTCTTCTCATGGTGGCAGCAGAAGCAAGAGAACAAGCTCAACTGTTCAAGCACATTTTAAACCTTTGCTTGCATCACATCTGCTGATATCCTACAGTAAGAGAATATCCACATGGCTAACCCAACACAAATGAAGCAGGGAAGTCTTTTCCTCCTGTGTCGGAGAGGGGAACATGTCTGAATATTTGAAACAATAATCTAACTTAACACAAAGCACAGGATTAGACCACTGAATTCCATTGGCATGAGCTAACTGTCACTTACTTTATTGAAAATGTGTCCTCTGGTTAGAGATATGTACCATGGAGATGGATACAGCAATCTGTAAGTCCACAGATGTTAGTGCTTCTGGCAGAGAAGGCACATCTCTGTGGACCAAGTATTTATGCTTGGGAGGCATATTGCTTCCTTCTCCAAGAGTCCGATGTAATTTACCTGCCACCAGGTGGCCAACTGGTCCTCCCAAAGAATGGTGGCTTACTGAATTCTCCAAGTTGGCTTCTGCTGTTGGCAGGTTGAGTACTCACCAGTGGCAGAGGGCAGTCATCGATGAGGATGGACCCATGCACAGTCTGTATCTGTTACTTATAGTCACTTTGTATTTGGGCTGTCTGAGCAAGAACTGGGGTGTTCTGGAGAAAAGATCAACATCCACAAGTTACAGAAACCTCCAGCATGCTGAATGCCTTCTCATGGACGTTTTCATAGGACAAGGAATCTTCACATTCTACACCCATTCAGAAGGACCCATCTATAGACTTCCCCACCAGATCTCCTCTACCTCATCTGTAATCGTGTTCTTTCAAGTCCCTGATCAACGGGCCAACCCCGGAGTCAGTGTCCATCAGACTGTCAAGCCATCACGACTCACATGAGAAGTGGAAAAACAGTCACAGTGCTCAGAGTGCTACTGAATTCCCTTAGAGCCACTCCCAAGTGAGGGTTGGCTATAATAGCTGTTCACTTCTGGCATGTGCCAGCATATTATGCAGATGTCAGTCCTAGGCCCGTTTTTTCCATCCTGTGCTAACCAGACATAGAGAAATCCTGAGTGTCCAGGTGTGGATTGAGGAAGAGGTGGGAATCTAAGCTACCTTCTCATGCAGCTTTCTGCTCGCACCCAGTCCTGTACACACACTTTATTTCACCATGGAATGTTGCTGTGGACATCCAATTTTTAGAGTCAGATAAAACTGAATTCATAAAGGGCAGATCAGATGACAGTCCCTTGCTGCCACCTGGCAGGAGCTGTGGTCTTCAGGTGAGGATGCGGCCAGCCTGCAATGAGGAAGCTGGGTCAGTAAGTGCCCCGACCTCTCTCCCCTCCCTGTCCTCCTGCAGGTGTTCCCCAATAGCTGCACCCAGCTGGGAGTCAGGGATCAAGGGAAAGCCATGAATGTAATCCACATAAGTCAGGTTCTGGAGCAGAACAGAATAAAGTAGAGAAATTCATTTGGACTTGCCTTGGGGCAATGTCCCCTCTAATATGGGGCCCACTGGCTGGACACGGTGGTTCACGCCTATAATCCCCGTACTTTGGGAGGCTGAGGTGAGAGGATTGCCTGAGCCCAGGGTTTCGAGACTAGACTGGGCAATTTGGTGAGACTCCACCTCTACAATAAATCAAGAAAAATTTGCTGGGCGTGGTGGTGTGCACCTGCAGTTCCAGCTACTTGGAAGGCTGAGGTGGAAGGATTGCCTAAGCGCAGCAGGTCGAGGCTTCGGTGACTGTGAGCAGTATGCCACTGCACTCCATGCAGCCTGGGCGACAGAGTGAGACTTCCGACTCAAAAAAAAAAAAAAAAAAAAAGGGGGGCCCCCC